CACATAGAAACAATCACAGGGAAGTAGCCAAAATGAGGAGACAAAGAAACATGTCCTAAATGAAAGAAAAGAACAAAACTCCAGGAAAAGAACTAAACAAAATGGAGATAAACAATCAATGAGATGCAGAGTTCAAATCACTGGTCATAAGGATGCTCAAGGAACTTAGTAAAAAATTCAAGGAAATTAAGAACTTCAAGGAACTTAGTGAGAACATTAACAACATAAAAAGGACCAGTAAGAAACGAAGGATGCACTAACTGAAATAAAGAATAATTTACAGCCCTGGCCGGTTTGGCTCAACGGTTAGAGCGTTGGCCTGTGGTCTGGAGAGACCCGGGTTCGGTTCCTGCTAAGGGCACGTACCTCAGTTGCAGTTTGTCCTTGGCCCTGGTTGGGTTGTGTGGGTGGCAACCACTCAATGTGTCCCTTTCACATCGATGTCTCTCTCTCTCTCTCTCCCTCCCACTCTATCTGAACAAAATATCGAAAAATGTCCTCGGGTGAGGATAAAAAAAAAAGAATAATTTACAGAGAATCAATAGTAGAGTAGGTAAAGCAAAGAAGCAAACCATCAATTTAGAATTTAAGGAAGCAAAAACACCCAACCAGAACAGCAAAAAGAAAAAAGAATCCAAAAAATGATGATAGTGTAAGGAGCCTCTGGGACAACTTCAAGCATGCCCATATTTGCATCATAGGGGTGCCAGAAGGAGAAGAGAGCAAAAAATTGAAAACCTATCTGAAAAAATAATGACAGAAAAACTCCCTAATTTGGTGAAGAAAACAGACATATAAGTCCAGGAAGCACAGAAAGTCCCAAACAAGATGAACCCAAGAGGTCCACACAAAGACACATCATCATCAAAATGCAAAGGTTAAAGACAAAGAGAGAATCTTAAAAGCAGCGAGAGAAAAGCAGTTCATTACCTACAATGGAGCTCCCATAAGGCTGTCAGCTGATTTCTCAAAAGAAACTTTGCAGGCCAGAAAGGAGTGGCAAGAGATATTCAAAGTGATGAAAAGCAGTGACCTACAACCAAGATTACTCTATCTTGCAAAGCTATCATTTAGAATCTATGGACATATCAAGAGATTCCCAGACAAGATAAAGCTAAAGGAGTTCATCACCACCAAACCAGTATTATATGAAATGTTGAAGGGTCTTCCTGAAAGAGAAGAACAAAGATATGAACAATAAAATGGCAATTAATACTTATCTATCAACAATTAAATCTACAAACAATATGAGCAAGCAGAACAGAAACAGATTCATAATACAGAGAACTTTTTGTTGCTTGCCAGATGGGAGAGGGCTGGGGGGGGGGGGGTGAAAAAGATGAAGGAATTAAGAAGTACAAATTGGGTGTTAGACTGATGAACCTCAAAGGAAAGGGGGGAGGAAGGGCAGGATGAGATAAACCAAAGAACTTCTATGATATATTCATAACTAATGGACACAGACAATAGTGTGAGGAAGGCAGGAACAGGGCTGGATTGGAAAGGAGGGAGGTTGATGGGGAAAAAGGGGGGAACATCTGTAATACATTCAACAATAAACATAAGTTTTTAAAAAATCTAAGGCATAGCCTTTGCCCTTGAGGAACCAACACAGAAAGAAATACTTGTAATACAAAATAAGAAGAGCCATAAGGAAATTAGAGGAAGTGCCATGGTAACAGAGGAGGAAATAATTAATTCTGCTTGGGGGACATGCATTACTATTTTGAGCCATAATTTTCATGACTCAATTTTCAAGAATATAATGTCACTTCATTTTTGTGTGTTCCAACTCTAAGATATTTCTTGGATTTGGTACCTGGGTTCTCATACATTACTACTCTTTAATTTACTATTACGAATATAAAAATAAACAATTCTTTGATGTTAAAGAACAAGTACAAAAACTTTGTGAGAGAGAGAGAAAAGTCAAACTCATTTTTTTGTGTGCAATTTAAAGCTTAGGAATTTAGGTCAATGTTTCCTTTCACTTTTAAATAATAAAGTTATTTAAGTGAGGGAGACAATAATCTTTAATAATGTAATGATCATCAGGTAACTTACTTTAAAAGCAATTTTACCAATAATTAAAAACTCACTTTAATTTATTCAACAAATGGTGCTAGAACAATTGTATATCCATATTTTTAAAAAGAAAAAATAACTTCGATTTATACCTCACAAAAATAAACTCAAAATGGGTCATATACCTAAGTGTAAAAATCAAAAACTATAAAATTTCTAGAAGTAAACATAGGAGAAGATCTTTGTGACCCTGATTAGGCAAATATTTCTTAGATGTGATACCAAAATCCCAATTTACAAAAGAAAAAGTGATAAATAAGACTTCATCAAAATTAAGAGTTTCTGCTCTCTAAAGGATGCTGTTAGGAGATTAAAAAGACAAATCAGAGATTGCAAGAAAATATTTGCAAATCACATGTCTGATAAGGGACTTGAATAAGGACTATATAAAGAACTCTTCCAGAAGAGCTATAAAAATGTTCAACATCATTAGGCATTAGTGAAATGCAAATCAAAACCACAAGATACCACTTCACAAAAGATGCTAAAATCAAAAGCACAGATAAAACCAAATAATGACAAGGATGGAGCAAGGTGGGAATGCCTAATGGTACAGCCACTTTGAAAGTTTGGATGTTTCTTATAAAATTAAAAATATACTTAACCATACAATCCTACAATCCCACTTTTAGGTATTTACCCAAATGAAATGAAAACCTATGTACACACACACACACACACACACACACCCGTCTGTAAATGTAAATGTTCACAATGGCTTTATTCAAATCCATCAGAAATTGGAAACAACCCAAATGTACTTCTAGTGGAGAATGGATAAATAATAGTGGTACATCCATACAATGGAATACTACTTGGCAATAAAAAGGAACAAACAACTCATTTACACAACATGGATAAATCTCAAATGCATCATGGTAAATCTAAGAAACCAGACTCAAAAAAGTATATACCAAATGATTCCACTCATGTGACATTCTTGCAATAGGGACAGAGCGTAGATCAGTGGTTGTCAGTGAGGAGGAGTTTACCACAAAGGAGCACAGGGCAGGGGAGGACGTGGGTGACTGAACTGTTCTATATCTTTTTTTATTGTTGACATTATTACAGATGTCCCCCATTTTACCACCCTTTACCTCACTCCACCCAGACCCCCCCACCCCCGGCCCTCACCACATTGTTGTCTGTGAACATGGGCTATGCATGTATGTTCTTTGACTAATCTCTTCACCTTCTTTCATCCCATCTGCCCCTATATCTTGATTATCGTGGTGGAAACATGACTGTATGTATTTTGTCAAAATCTACAAAACTTTACAAGAAAGAAGATGAATTTTAATTTATGTAAATTACACCTTAATTTATAAAACAAATACAAAATTCACATCAAGTTAGAAAAAATGACTTAAAATTAAGAGCTAAAACAACTTTACTTAGCTCAAACCTAACATAAACAACAGTGCCCCCTTTGAGTTACCCATATTTAAAGAAAGAATTTTAAGAGAATATAATGTAATTTACCAGGAAGATAAATACCTAGATTTAGAAAGCAAGTATAATGGAAACAAATGGATAAAGCTATTCCTTCAAATATATCATAATCTGAGTGGCAGACTTCCCTGTTAATGAAAACCTTACTTTTTTTTTTTTTTTTTACCAAGAACTAGGGAGGCAGGTTGCTTGGCTCAAATGGGAATGTGCACTTACGAAAGAAGGCGTGCAATATATGATGCTAAGTAAATGCAGAACAAGTAGTAACCCAACATCAGCAATAAAATAAACCAATAATTTTTTGTTAGAATTTGAAAATAACAAAAACTACTACTGTTTGTTTCTCAAAAGCAAAGCAGTTGCTTAAATGGACACATGCCTCCTTCTAACATGAAATGTGCTCAATTCATCATATTTCGGAGGGGGGGAGCATAAGTGAATATTTAGCTACAAAAATTTAAGTCATCACCAACTTCACATGTGACTTTTAAGCTTTAATAACTGCTTTGCTATCCTCTATAATTATTTTATAGCACTGACTTTCTATGATTTCTTTTATAGATAATATTTCGAAGTGATTGTTGCTTAAACATTTAAACACTGTCAGTAAAAAGAAAAGAAAAGAAAAGAAAGAAACATACATGGATTATTCTTAAGAGAGAGCACTCAAGTTCACATTCTGCCATTCTGAAGGTAGGGCTAGATTGAACAAGGGAGCCACCAAAAGAATTAGATTTTATGACATGGAGTTTTATTTTGTGGTGAGCCCTGCATGAGGTATTTAAAAATCAAGACCAACATTTTACTCTGACACTATGTAACCAAGTTACTTTAGTCCAGTCTTTGAGCTCTGAGTGTGTTTCTTCAACTGCGAAATGAGGCATTGGATTCCATTTTTAAGAGATGTTTTTAAAAGACAGTCTGTGATATAGACTAAATACACAAACACTGATCTGACACAGTGCCCTGAGAACTCTTGTTAAGGGTGCTTATGATAGTTTCTTGGAAAAAAAATCACTATTGCCTTTGTACTCAAGAATATTCTTTTTAAGGAAGAAAACAAAAAAGCCTAGACCTCAATTGTATAGATATTCTGAAAGACAACTTGAACCCTCTTAATTATCATGACACCTTTTCAAATGAATAAACATCTCTAAAGCCAAGGTGGCCATGCTGATTAAACAGTAGACACACCAGCCTTGCCCAGAGCACAAAGGCTTTATACTCCGCAAACTGGCTTCCCTCACTATCTCTGAAGCATCTAGAATCTTCTTACCTTCTTTATCCAAGTTGTTGAAACTGACACTGAGGCCAAAAACTAAGCAACTGATTTTCCCCCTTACGTCCTTATCACCATTGTAATGAACTGGGAAATCCACCCACCAGCCATCAATGTCGGTCATCCTCTGGAACCTTGACATCCATGCTGCAGGCTAATCAATTTTCCTGCCATTACTTTTCAGCCCCTGAGTTTTGAAAGCAAGAAAAGCTACACCTTAAAAGTCGAGGGGGCCAATCCTCACCTAGAGATGCGGTTTCTGAACCTGGGCCCCTTTCAGGACACAACCACAGTGCATATCAGTGTGGAAGATGTGGATGAGCCCCCTGTGTTTGAACCTGGCTTTTACTCTGTGGAGGTACCTGAAGATGTGGCCATTGGAACAACCATACAGCTCATTTCTGCCAAGGACCCAGATGTGACCAACAACTCAATCAGGTTTTTCCCCAGATTTCACCTTTTCCTTATAGCATGGAATCTTCCCTTCTCCTGCATCAAATTTTCTAGCCCTTTTTCCTTCTGCTTCTTCTATCTCTGGAGAATCTCCTATTTCTTTAAATTTTTTCTGTTTAAATAACATGGCCTTTTCATGTTATTTAGAAGTATCATTATGTCTACAACTTATTGTCAACTGGTTCAGCAACACACACACACACACACACACACACACACACACCTCTTAGTTCTCAATCACAGCCCTATTGACATTTTGGGATGGATTATTCTTTGTTGTGGGGCTGTCCTGTGCATTGTACGATATTTAGCAGCATCTCTGGTCTCTAACTATTAAGTGCCAGTAGCACTCCCTGAATTCTAACAACTTAAAATGTCCCCAGATACTGTCAAATGTGCCTGAGCAGAGTGAAGTGCAAAAATTACCCCCAGTTGAACCACTAATTGAGATAAAGCAGAGACAGATACAGAGAAGTCAAAACATTAAAAACTGTTGAATCTTAGTGATGAATATAAAGGTGATCATTGCACATTCTTTTATTTGTAGGAACCTTTGACTTTTTTACTTTTAAAAATGGGAAAAATATCACATATATGATATGTATTTCCATACACTACAGAAAAGACAGACAGAAAATACCCATGCTGTCAGCGGCTTCAATGCCATGTGGACTGGTCAGGAAGGGCTTTCTCCTGCAAACCCACATATCCGTCTCTCCAAACATGGTCTGAACTTAAAAATTCCAGCCAAGAAGCTTCTCCCTCAGGGGGGGGCAGGAGAGCTGCTCTTACGGTTATGGCCAGTTACCATCAACTCTGGGACCAAAGTGCGAACAGCTGGTGACGGGCTGACACCTCCACCTCCCAGAGCACTGCCAAGCCTCTGAAGTGTGCACAACGATCAGGATCCCAAAGCTGTTTGAGGCCATCTGTCACGTTAAATGTTGGAAGTCACACAAATGGACCTGAGGCTTTAGTGCGGATAACAATCTTAAACACACCTCAATGTATCGAATGCCTTTTCTGTCAGCTACTTCCCTCATCCGGTGCTACTTTGCATGTAACGGAAATCTGCTTTCGCAGTTTAACTAAGATGGTTCTCCCCTGAGAACAACTACACGGAGGAATCTGCTTCCTCTAACCAATTAGTAAACCGTTTACATTTTCAGACATTAAAATGGCTAAAACAATTGTGCTTGAATTCTGGTATTAGATTTCTAGACGTGAACTAATCTTTATATTATGAGTTATAACAACTGTATAGGAGTGATACTTCTACCTTAAGCTTTTTAAATGTATAAGAGGATGGGGAGAAGATAGTAAAATCATATCATCCCCAAAACAATCACAAAATAAATGAAACTGATTCTAAATTTTTATTTTCAGAAGCCAAATACATATACATACACACACACACACACATATATATATATCTCTTCTGGTCAGTTCATTAATCTAGTCATATCAAAGAAGATACCATGGGGAAAACTTTAAGGAAAATGTTGTGGGAGAAAAATGTTTGAAATAACACAAGCTTGAAAAGCTCAGATCTCATTTCTAAAAGGGCCACTCACTGGACACTTCCACATGTTCTTTCCAGACTCACTCTGGACTCCTACGTGGTAGGCACTGGAGTATGGTTTTGTTAGGAGTCACATTATTAAATGACACACAAGAGAGGCTGAATGCAGTCAGGAAATCCACACACGCACACACCCCAGAGAGAATGGGAGTTTTCAGCTCTCAAGCTGTTATCCGAAGACCTTTCAGGAAGGAGAGAGAACAGCAGGCCTAGGTGTACTGCGGGAGCTAAACGAGGCCTATGGAACGAAGGAACCCGCCTGGCGACAAAGTGCTGCTTCACAGCAGGGGCCGTGAAAGCCACCAGCCGCCAGCACGACCCGGCTGGCATCATGGAAGTCCACAACGAAATGCCTGTCTATGCCAATAGACCCCAATCAGAAGAAAGCCAAGAGTGAACAGGCTCCGGGCACAGAGCCGGGTCCAGTGGACTTATTCTGGGGCAGGACTCAAGGCCCTGAGAGAGAAACTGGCACAAACAAGGCACTAGCCACAAGCCTGGAGCCAAGAGACAAGGCTTCCGGCCCAGGGGCAGAGCAGATTCCACTTATCAGAACTGACGGCGAAGAAGGAGCAGAATTCATGTCACTAGACATAGGGCCCCTGACTCTCTGTATTGTCCTCCAGGAACAAAGCATGGTCCCTGGACCCTGGCAGAAAATTGAGGGTCCTGAACTCTCGGAGGAAAATGCACCTCAGAGTCAAGTTTCTGGCTATCATTTAATTATCCCATTTGGGAATTACTTTCCTGTGTTATCTTTCCCCAAATTGTTCACTTATCCTTATTTTTCCTATAAAAGTTATTTTCTTCTGCATTTTTATTACAAATAAATGAGATTTATAGTTCTAAAAAGAAAATACATATTAAATTACCCAAAAACCAACATATTATCTAAAGTTTAAAGATTGTGAACAAATAGCCATTTAACTTTTTTAAAGACTATTAGGACTTTTACAATCTCTAAGAAATTTATGGTGCATTCAGGCATATAAACTAGTCACTATTTACAAGTTAATCCCCAAACTAGTTATATGTACACAAAAAACACAGTATTTGGATCTCTTAACATTTTAGTAAATGCTCAAGGAATTTCTGGCAAGTGGAAAACTGAACCATTTGGCAACTGAAATCGGCTTCTGCTGTGTGGCAACAGCCTGCCCTCCCGTGCCATCCTGGAGAGTGTGTGTGGATTAGCCAGCCCGCCCGGAATGCCCTGACTCCAGCCTGCTTCCAAACTCACAGGATGTCCTGAGCCAAGCACAAACGCAGGGAGCCCAAAGAGCGCCAGCTACTGGCCGCTCAAGGGAGTTGTGTGTGTGCTTGTGGTGCCTATTCTGCCCGCAGTAGGTGAGAATATTATGGTTAGAGAAAGAAAAACCACATACATAATTCACCCGTGTGTCCCAATTTCCTCATTTTCCATCTGGACCTACACCTTTCATTTGCTCCCCCTCCTGAAATCCGGCCCGGTGTCCCATTCAGAGTCACAGGTGCCATCCCACCTAGACTCAGGCCGGTTGGAGAGTTGGAAAGGGACGGCGTTTCTTCCTCTCAGAGTGTCACGGCAGTACTGCCATGGTTCTTTCACATGGTTACCGCCGTCACCATCCCCCACACCATCTGTGACTTTTGCTATGGCGTCGCAAGTCTGAGTGCAGAAAGCGGGTCATCACAGGCCCTCTCCCTCGGCAGCCTGCCTGCAGCCCGGGGAGCGGCTCTGTGTGCCGAGTGCTGGCTTCACTCACATGGGGAGCTGGAAGGAAAGTCTGTCATGAGCCAGCCAGTATTTTTTTTCTAAGACAAAGTCAACTTTTAAAATAGCCAGTAGACTTTCAAACTAAATCATTAATTACACCTAGAAAAAAAAATGCTATAAACTTTGTAGGCATGTGTTCGTTCCTTATTAAAAAGTCAACTATTTCTGCCCTGGCCAGTTTGGTTCAGCAGTTAGAGCGTCGGCCCACAAACCAGAGAGTCCCGGGTTCGGTTCCCACTAAGAGCACGTACCTCGGTTGTGGTTCATCCCCGGCCCCAGTTGAGGTCGTGTGGGTGGCAACCAGTTGACTGTCTCTATCACTTCAATGTTTCTCTCTTGCTCTCTTCCTCCCTCTCTCCCTTCTGCTCTATCTGAGGATAAATGCAAAAGTGTTCTCGGGTGAGGATTACAAAAAAAAAAAAAAAGTTAACTGTTTCCTATCATGGCTTATCTATCTTCAAGAAGAGATCAAGTTTGTCTCCTTAAAGTAAACAATCTCATTCGCTCCATGTGCAGTAAGGCAGCGTGGCCTGGGAGTTAGGAGCAGGAACCTGAAAGCCAATTGCCTACTCTTGATTCGCAGCTGTAAGACCCTGGACAAATGACCTAACCTCTCCATGCCTCAGTCTTCTCACCTGTGAAATGGAGATGATAAGAGTACATATCTTACAGGGTTATTGTGAGGGTTAAATGAGTAATATAAGTAAGGTGTACAGACTGAATGCCCGACTACAGTGACATTCATTAAATAGAGGCACAAGCAGAAAGAGACACTAATTTGCTTCCTTAAATTTCCCAATTCTTGGAGAGTTACAACTGAAATGACTACAACTTCTCTAGCCCTTAGTGGTCACCTTTCCCTTTAATTTGTAATTCTCTGGCCCTGGCCAGTTTGGCTCAGCAGCAGAGCATTGGCCCATGGACCAATGAGTCGCAGGTTCGATTCCAGCCAAGGGCATGTACCTCAGTTGCGGTCCCTGTACAGCCCTGGTCAGGGTCGTGCAGGAAACAATCAGTCGATGTGTCCCTCTCACGTGGATGTTTCTCTCTCTCCCTTTCTCTCCCTCCCTATCGGAAGATAAATAGAAAATTATCCTCAGGTGAGGATTAAAAAATAATAATAATTTGTAATTCTCTGAACAACCATCCCGAATCTCTGCAGGAAAAAATACATATTTGAACTAAAAGATTTTTACCAAACAATACATACACATGCATATACTAGATGTATGTGTTTACATAAAATTGAGACAAAAATTTCACCATCAACATTTACCCTCACTGTATGTGAGAGTCGGGCATACATACATGCGGTTTCATTTCATTTTCTTTCAACATCAGTCATAACCCACCATAGTGATTTAACTAACCTGTAGTCTGAAAAGCAATACACTAAAGAAAGTGCTTACTCCTATCAAGTTGCAGTTTCCCAGCTTCCCTACTGCTGGCAACTTTAAATAGAATTTTGAACCCAATACATTAGAGAGAGAGAGAGAGAGAGAGAGAGAGACTTTTCAAATCTTACTTGTGCACATTAACTGTGTAACTATTTGAAAGTGACTTAACTTCACTAAGTCTTAGTTTCCTCTGATAATTGAGATAATACCTACCTCCTAAAGATGTTGTAAGAATTTAAAAAGTAGCTATAAAATGCCTGTTATTCAATAATGGCAGCTATTATAACTACTGGCCATTCCCAAGGACCACATGAGGTTCTCAACGATGGCTCTCAATCACGGCTACGTATCACAATCTCTTATGGAGGGTTTTAAACATAACAGATGCCTAGAAGTCCCTCCACACTTACTGAATGAATCTCCCAAGATGGGAACCAAGTAAGATGACGCAGGTGAGATAACAAACACAAAGGGTTGGACTGCCAAATCATTTTCAACAGGAATTACAGTTCTTTCCCAGTATCAAGGTAAATGATGACTCAAAGGATACAGACAACAGCAAAACACAAGCCAAGCACTCTTTCCTTGGAAAGGTCTGAAACCATCAGGCACAGTGCTCGTAAATATCCTTCTTTCCCTGCGTAAGGATGCATGTTGGTCCACACTGAACATGAAAGGCGTAAGCAATGGATGCTGCTCTTCAGTGTACTGTCTGAACAGGAGGAGCCCTTTTGGTTATGAAACATCTGTGTGTTTTTTAATACCGCATTAATTACATAGCTCACATGACATTTTCCAACAAGCTGTGCCCCATACATGCATAAATTCCAGGCTTATTTACAATAAGCAACCAAGACAGACCTGGTCCTTCCCGTTAAAAACATTTCATAGATAAAGACTCTTCCCTGAGTAAATACATTATTGTGTTTGTCCACAGGTCAGTCATCAGCACGTTTACAAAGGACTTTCTTCTCAACAGCTGATATTAATTATGGAGTAGACTCACTAAACTATACATTTCCCAGTTCGAATTCAGCATTTCAGAACTTATTTGAATGAAATTCATTTTGAACAAAGATATATAGGGGTTGTTATTCAGAGTGTCCCAAAAAAACCTTGGGCAGTTTTAAGCTTTAAATAGCTAAAATTGATCTTTAAATGGCTTAGAACTGCCCTAAGGTTTAGCACCATGTTCTTCACTTTATGAATCAGGAAATTAAAGCGGTAACAGTTTGTTATTGGTTTCTACGGGTTTGGGGGAGGGAGGGGTGGACATAATAAAACAGAAAATTCAGTATTCTAAGTGTCCATAACTCAGGACTAGTGGAGCCACGTGTCACATGGTACTCACTCAGTTCTCTCATGTGACATGCTGCAGTATGTTTATCCAAATGAAATGATGTGTTGAATCTGTGGTGATTTTTGCAGATATTCCATTGACAGAAGCAGTGACCCTGGAAGATTCTTCTATATTGACATTACAACAGGTGCCCTAATGACCGCAAGACCCCTTGACCGGGAAGAGTTTTCTTGGCATAATATCACTATCCTTGCTATGGAAATGAGTAAGTAACACAACAAACTGGTCTCTATGTAGTGACAAATATAAGCACTGTAGAAAGCAGAAGTTTCTAGAGCTTGTTGGAATAAGACTTGTACCCTTTACAGAAAAAAACAAAAATCATAGTTCATGCAAACAAGTAAATGTACTTAGTTCAAATATTCATTAAGCATCTGCTGTATAGCTAGTCCTGTGCTAGAGATAAAAGTATGCAAAAGCAGTTAAAAAAACCGCATCCTTAAACCAAGGAGCTAGACTTCATATGAGGAAAAGGGACAGTCCCTGATAAATCTAAGAAGCTTTCAATCTCTGACAAGATCGGGAATACGCAAACAGTAGAAAATACTATTGGATGAAAGGAAGCATTTATAACAGACTCTTACTACATATATACATGCATATAAGAATTTCAGACATGTTAAAATAAAATGAAGATTTATTAACATAAACTTAAAAATGGAATGGAGCCCAGCCTGTGTGGCTCAGTGGATTGAGCGTCATCCCATGGACTGAGAGGTCCCGGTTTGATTCCCAGTCAGGGCACATGCCCGGGTTGTGAGCTCTATCCCTGGTAGGGGATGTGCAGGAGGCAGCCAATCAATGTTTCTCTCTCCTATCGATGGTTCTCTCTCTCTCTCTCTCCCTTCCTCTCTCTCTAAAAAATCAATAACTTTTTTTTTTTTTTTTTTATCCTCACCGGAGGACATTTTTCCATTTTTTTGTTCAGGTAGAGTGGGAGGGAGAGAGAGGAACAGAGAGAGAGATAGAGAGAAACATCGACGTGAAAGGAACACATCAAGTGGCTGCCACCCGCACGACCAACCAGGGCCAGGGACAAACTGCAACCGAGGTACGTGCCCTTAGCGGGAACCGAACCCGAGTCTCTCAGGACCGCAGACCGACGCTCTAACCGCTGAGCCAAACCGGCCAGGGCTCAATTAAAATATTTTTTTAAAATATGGAATGGAAAAGTAACAAAATTAATATAGCATGTTTATCATAAACTTAACAAAATTAGATTATTTACTACTACATTCACTTTTTTTCATAGCACCTAGTGATGGTAAAGGTTTGGAGAAACAGCAGACCCTAATGCACTGGCAGATGTACAGTCATTCAGGAGGGCAGTTTGGCAATTAATCTTTCATATTAAGATTCTCCATGTTGTACTCTTTTTCTCAAGAATTCTACTTCTAATAAATATCTTAAAGAAATGATCATAGATATCAACAAAGATTTATATACCAAAATGTCTACTCTGGTATTTTTTAAATTGAAATTATTTAAATGTCTCATAATAGGAGTTTGATTAAATAAATAATGGTACAATCATATAGTAAAATGAAACTAGCCCTGGCCTGGTGGCTCAGTTGTTTGAAACCATCTCATACACCACAAGGTTTCAGGTTCAATCCCCAGTCAGGGCACATACCTAGCTTTTGAGTTTGATCCCCGGTCAGAGTGTGTACAGGAAGCAACCAATTGATGTTTCTCTCACACTAATGTTTATCTTTCTCTCTCTCTCACTCTCTTCTTCCTTTCTCTCTAAAATCAATAAAAACATATCCTCAGGTGAGGATTAAAAAATAAAAATAAAATGACACTACCATGTAGATGTTAATACCCATGCTTTCAAAGCATATTTCAATGACACAAGATAATCTTGACCTAAAATATTAAAGTTCTGAATCCAACTTTTTTTTTTAATCCTCACCCAAGGACATTTTTGCATTTATCTTCAGCTAAAGTGGCAGGGAGAGAGGGAGGAAGAGAGAGAGAGAGAGAGAGAGAAACATCGATGTGAGAGAGACACATGGAGTGGTTGCCACCCACACGACCCCAACCAGGGCCAGGGACAAACTGTGCCCCTAGCGCAGTGGTTCTCAACCTTCCTAATGCCGCGACCCTTTAATACAGTTCCTCATGTTGTGGTGACCCCCAACCATAAAATTATTTTCACTGCAACTTCATAACTGTGATTTTGCTACTGTTATGTCTTAGGTGACCCCTGTGAAAGGGTCGTTCAACCCCCAACCGCTGCTAGCGGGAACCGAACCCGGCCTCTCTGGCCCACAGGCTGACACTCTAACCGCTGAGCCAACCTGGCCAGGGTTTAATCTAACATTTTTATTTCATTTAACTGCTGTGTGTGTGTATCCACATTACTGGACACATATGCAATAGTACATATATCATACAGTGAACATGTCTAATAGGACTGTGGATCACATTTATCCTCATGTTTTTCTGAAATTTTCATTATAAACAAGTTCCACTGTTATAATGTAAAACATTTAAATATGTCAGCATTTTTGGCCAAGTAATCAAAATATTTAGGGAGGAAACACAATAACACACAAGTTTTTTTGAGAAAGAAAAAAATGAACCAGAAGAGTAAGTTATTTCTGAGATTTAATAAAATTATTTGCTGAGAATAATTTCTGTGTCTTACGATTTCTATCTTGTCTCCTTGGGACGGTGACGCAAACAGAGATAGACCGGAGGGGACTGCTGGGGCCGTGTGTCTGCGTGGCAACGCCCGCAAACGATAGACCACAAGGCATTTCCCACACGTGGTGATGAGTGACTTCCCCTGCCCCACCCAAAGATATGGATTTGATGTGTGTCTGACCCTGTAATATCCCCTTAGCCTCTAAGCAGAAATAAAGGTGCAGTCTTATTTGCATTCCTGAGAATAACTGAAACCTTCTGAAATATAACTCAAAGAACAGATTGTTTCACGGGAATAAAGCCAAGCAGGTAGTATGCCTCCAATCAGAAATGGGTTAGTTCCACCTGGCTTGTCTGGCTCAGCGGTTAGAGCGTCGGCCCATGGAGCAAAGAGTCGCGAGTTCGATTCCAGTCAAGAGCACATACCTTGGTTGTGGTTCGGTCCACAGCCCTGGTCAGGGCCGTGCGGAAGGCAGCCAGTCAATGTGTGTCTCTCACATCGATGTTACTCTCTCTCCCCCCGCCCCCATCCCTCCCTCCTGCTCTGTCTGAAAATAAATGTAAAAATATCCTCAGGTAAGGATTAAAGAAAAGAAAGAAAGAAATGGGTTATTTCCAAACTCAGAATACAGACCCGGCCTCCTTTAATTCCAGAACCTGAAGTACGAGCCATGTGAGAGGTTCCAAACCTCTTTTTAAGACTCATTTTGTGATACCTGCTCCCCCTGATGTCTGGCCCTTCCTCTCACCCTGACACCACAGTCTCAGACACACACCTCCTTCTGTCCACGCTCTGGCCACACTCGTCCTGGGAACACATGCACCCCATGCTTGTGGCTGCTGTTTCCACGCACCACATCCACGCCTGTAAACACCAGGCTGCCAGGGAAATACCCGCCCAGCAGAGAGCGCCCTCCTGCACTGCTGACCCTCCTCTTTGGTTTGTTTTGTGCTCTCTTTAGACAATCCCTCCCAGGTCGGAAGTGTTTCTGTCGCAGTGAAAGTCTTGGATGTGAATGACAATGCTCCAGAGTTCCCCAGGTTCTATGAGGCTTTTGTCTGTGAGAACGCCAAATCGGGGCAGGTAAGATGGCCTGGGAGACACGCACCATGGTTAACTCCCCAAATGTGGAGGTGACTGCTACAGATACTCAAACTCGCGATCAAAGAAATTTAGACTCCAGAGTCCCCGACTTTTGTGTATCATGTGGCTACAGTTTAATTCTTAAGACGACTACTTGGAGTCTCCATTACATTTTATGATCTAAAGAATGCATTGGCGATGGTTTGATTCATGGCTAGCCTGTAATAAGCTATCTACCCACCTTGTAACTGAACGGTACAGAACATGTGCTCTGGGTCCTGGAAATGAGAGGCTATGAAGATCAAAGAAAGAAGTCTTCTCTCTTCCTCAGTCTAGCACAAATCCCTAAAGGTATTTATTGTAGGGAAAGTTACTGACTGTATGTATGTATGTATGTATGTATGTATGTATGTGTGTGTATGTGTGTGTGTGTGTGTATCTTCCCACAGCCCCTTCTTAACTTCTGGCAATAGGCGCCCTTGTGTAGGGACTGCCTGCCAGATTCTCAGAACGCTTTGTACCTAGACTACCCTTCCCTCTCCTCCCTCACTTAACACACCCATTTGGTTAGTGAGGCTCGTGTCAGGTAAGTTTGGAGAGAAAGTTAATCTGAAGGAACAAATTTCTGCTTATTTGAAATAACTTTATTTTGGTTACCTTCAGGAAAAAGTTGTATTTATTATAAGTCTGCTTTTAAACCTAAAAGAACATTTGGTTGATCAGACTCCAAGTGGTGTAGCTGAGAAACATCTGAAACTCTGCCTGGAGTGGCCATGCACTGATGTACGTGCAGGGCAGCTGCCCACCCTCCACCTGCCCTTCCATACCTCAGATCACAGGCCATCTCCTGCCTTCTGCTTCTTTATAATATGCTTTCCTCCTTCACCTATGACACAACAGGTTCCCTAGCAGTCCTAGTTCCCCTGGAGTGTATTCTCTGGCCCTGTGGATTCTGGTGATGGGGTGCAAAGGGGTCAGGACAGTTTCAGATAAAAGTTAGGCGATTGTGGCATGCCTGTCTGTAAGGTGAGGACTCATACTTTGGCAACTCGGGCCTTCCAATTGGAATGCAGTTTTGTTTTCGCTTCTCTCACTCACCTGCATCATCACCTCCAGCACCTTGCTGCACAGAGAGACTATGTCTGTGCAACCCAACTTACAAGAGCTTCCTGAACTCACCAAAGACAGACTCAGCACATCTGTACCATTCAACTGAGAGCAAACAGTGACCCACCCCCAGGGGGAAATGAGTCCTGCAGTGATTTTGATCTAAGTTATCTCATCTACTGATACTGGAAACTCTGTGTCAATGGCCTATAGCACCCCTAAAATTTTTTCAACAGTCTAGGATAATTCTATTTCCACATCTATTGAATTTCTAGTCTAGAAAGACCTGAAATGTTACACAGCTTATAAAAGTTACAATGAAGACTTTATGGCATAAGAAATGGTCCATGTTATTATCAGTAAAGAAAGGAGATATAAAAAGGACATGCACATGCTTGAAGTTATGGAAAATTATTGTTTGTGTGTGAACAAAGATTAAGAGAGAAGATACAAAAATAGCAATAGTTACTATGTGTCAATGGGTTTTGAATGAGGGGATTTGGACCTTTATTTTAATAAGCTTTGTTTTATATTATGACTACTTATTATAAGAAATAAAGTGTACAAAGTTTTGTTTTATATTATATAAGATTATATTATAAATATGACCAGTATGTAATACTTTATATTATGACAAGAGGCTAATTTTTAATCTATGATATAAAGAGAGTGATAAGTCACACAGGAAATTAAAACCCCTCTCCCTCCGAAAACGAAACAGTGCCTTTCGGAAAGAGATTCGGAAGAGGAGAAACTGCACCTGGCAGGGCGACAGCCCCTGAACTGCTCTCGTCTTCCAAGCACACAAACACGCCTCCCGTTCCTACATCCCTGAACACATCTTTGCATGGCCTACTGTAAAGTCCTTTGAAGCACAGTTTATCTGCGACTTAAAATTCAAGTCATGAGCCACAAGACGGTCCTATTTGTCATCTTTACCCTTTGAGTTTGGCTCTGGGCCATGTTTTAAAGATCTTGAAAGCCCACAGGCAGCAAGTGTGCCTGGCTTATAAAGAATCGGCCTCCTTGGGTTAGGGTTATTGGCCGCTGTCGTCAGCTCTACACCTGCCAAGTTGGAATGTGTGTTTTCCCCTTAGCGAGCAGCCATGAAGGAGGCCCGTGGAGAAACCAGAGGACATGCTTGGTGAGGTCCGAGGGCAGGATGGAACCTGCTGCGCAGAACACGCATGGCCAGGGGAGGGGCGAGTCTGAAGTCTGACCTGCCAGACAGCGAGGCAGGAGCGCAGGCCAGGATGCTCCTGACTCACTCAGCAAGGCAGCGTCTTTGCTCGCTCCTTCTTCAAAGCCCTGTAACCAAGCAGTCCTGTGCCTCAGGCCCCCACCTCACAATACATAATATACATACTGTCCCACAGGTCAGATGTTCTGAAATGACTTTCCAACTACATTTACCAAATTCTACATGCCACCCATTTCTAACAAGCCCCAACACATGCATGTATCTTCACATGTTTGGCGCTGCAGGCAAGAGGGAATACACAAATTTCGTCTTGGCAGGGATGGGGCAGTAGGTGACCCTCGTGTGTGAGCAGCGGAGTCACCACGCGCTCTCCCGACTCCTCTCCTGTATCGCAGCCCCATTCCCCATTCTCTCTTTATCAACAGAGGCCAGTTGGGTTCGCCAGGAGGCCACAGGCGTTCTAGTATAAGATGCTTACTAAGGAGTGCCCCCGGGCTAATGGCTGTGAAGGGAAGAGTTTTGCAGGACGGCAAAAGGAGAGGTCCAGCTGCAATGCAGACCCACAGACAGCCTTGAGTGACGTCACGCTGCTCTAGGGCCAGTCTCCCCGAGTGGAAGTGGGATGGCCAGGCCTTTCCACCCCTGCATCAGTCACTGGAAGTGGGGTGCCCTGAAGACTGTGGTGACTGGGGGCAGGTGGCCTCCGCAACAGACAGTCCCCGAGAGACAGACAGGTGAAGGCTGGGGCAGAGTCCCTCACTGACAGGGGATCGCGCAGCACAGAAGTCTCCTTGCGGGGGCTTCCGGTCCTTAACCCTGAGCACACTGCGCGGGAGCAACCCTCCCTTCATTTACAGATGAGAAATGAAGACTAAGCAAGCCCACCTGGCCCCGGCTGGCCCCGGCTGGCCTGGTCTCCACCCGGGCAGAAGCACTGCGCAGACAGCAGGACATCGCATCTACAGGGCCGGCCGGAGAGGTGGGAGGGTCTGTGTAACCGGCTGATAGAGAAGCAAACACAGGAAGGAGACCACCATTAACACCTTTTCTAAACCCCTCAGTCCACCTGCCAATGATTCAGTTGTGTATTTCACACTTTCTTAGTAGCTTTTCTACTATGATCTTTGTAACCATGAAGCAACTTACTACTTTGAAAAGCAACATGGAAAAGGCAAAGTTTTGGCCAAAGACCTCCAGCAGAAGCCACCCACCTCCTCTCTCCTCAGCCCGAGCTTTGCTGCTGACTCTAGTCTGTTCTATACATCCCACCCTGGGGTTCTTGTGCTCTGCACCTGTCTAGCTCCCCTTCCTACCAACAAAGGGTGACTGCCCTGTGACCCGTTAACCTGACACAGCCAACGGTACATGTCCACTTACTTCCCTTCTAGGTGTTGGTCATTTTTAAATAGGGACCTCTCAAAGATGAGAACTTGACCCTGAAATACTAACCCCAAAGTGGGGTTAAGTCAGTGGAGTGAGAGGGTGAAACCCTGGGAGACCAGCAGAACCTTGTAGCACCCCAGAGTTTATTTACTCAACATCTACTTAGACTACCTAAAAACGGCTAGCCTTGGTGTGCAAACCTCTGAAGTATGTAGGTAACATTCACCCTGTGGTGGTGATGTACTCAGGCCCAACAATAAACCCAAATGAAATCCTGAGTTGTGCGACAGCATGGAGATTTTCCAGGTGAGTTTCAGGACATCCTTCTCATTCAGTAAAATAATCTGCTATTGGATTTCAGGGTTTGGGATGTCACTGGGCCCTGAAGCTTTTTTTTTTGGCCCCAACTCTCCAACTCACCTGAGTTCATGTCCCTCCCTCAGCTGATCCAGACAGTGAGCGCAGTGGACCACGATGACCCACGCAATGGCCAGCACTTCCACTACAGCTTGGCTCCCGAGGCTGCTAACAATCCCAACTTCACCGTAAGGGACAACCAAGGTAATCAGGTGGAGAGCTGGCGAGCGATGCTTTTCTACAGCTCGGGCTGGATACTTTGGGTTAGACCACGCGAACGGTGTCAAAATCCATCTGCTCTTGCATAGCAGGGAAGGCGTTTATGCTCATTTACAGTGTCTTTCAAACTCTATTTTTCAGAACATCAAAGACCAAGAATATCCTCTGCTGATTCTGAAACTGTCACTCAGTCAGCTCATACATTTGAGCGCTGGCTCTGCCCCACACACCGTGCAAGGCACACAGGCAAAACCTTCCTTCGTCCCCACAGATAGCAGCCGTGTTTATATGTTCTGTAACTGTGGGAAGTATCTGTGAAAGGTGACAGAAACTGAACTAGGTGAAGAGAAAAGCCTGAGGAAACATTTCTAGGCAAGGATCAAAGAAGGAAACAGCGAAAAGCTCCCAGAACAAAAGGGAGGCCAAGGCTAAGTAACAGAGATAGCAGAGGGCAAACATGGGGTCACAGAGAGTAGTTTTGGCACTAAAACAACTCTGTAACTTTAGAAAGACACATCCGGGGCTTCCCTATTCCAGAAAGTGCTGCCCGCTACAGCTTTGTGGGAATGAAGTTCCTGACCTTCTGCAATAAGCATCAGACCAGCTCCGGGGCTTACAGACCCAGCACCCTCTCCAGTGGGCACAGATGGGAAAATAAGGGACTTTTGTTCGCCAGCCAGATAATTTTCAAAGAAAGGTCAAAGCAAGTGAAAAAAATAATTTAGGTCTGTCAAGTGAACCCCTTCTGGTACTAACTCTGCCACCAGCTAGCTGTCTGACCTTGAGGATGGAGGTCTGCAGTCACCTCCTGTTCATTCCAATTCTAAAATATAAACTGGCACTTGGTAACAATCTAAACAAAGGGTAACAGAAAGTCATGATCAGGCACGCCTGGTCTTAGTCTCAAACATCAATTATTTGAGACTTAAAGTACTAATTCCACTCCACGTGATATTGTTATTAAAAGTTGAGGATATCAAACCTGAGTTCTTCCAAATGGAAAGCACTCTTCCAAGTTATTCCTTTTCTATATCTCATCACAAAATCCCTATAACTCTAGAAGGAAAGATCATATAAATTTTAATAACAGAGCTACTACAATTAGATATCCTGATATATTTATTGGATAAAATCTTGAATCCTTCCTGCAAAAAGTGGTTCAGCCCCCTCAGGACTGGTTTCACAGTGGAAACCCTAGGGCAAAAAAATAATATTACACTGTTTCTTCAAATTTTCAACTGTGTCACTCTATTCCTTCACTCTGGTATTTGTCAGAATCAATACAGAAACAACATGCAGCAAAATGCAACAGATTTCTTAAAGAAAACTTTGGACACCAATTCATTAAGCCAATACCTTTAAAAAGATGGGCCACTGAAACATGATAACTATTAAAAGAAATGACTCATCTCTTGAAAGATTTTCCAGGATGGAAGTTAGATAGAAAGAATAGAAAGAATACTCTTAACCTCCTCGTGACAATTTACAGCACCAGTACCCTTTTCTGAGGCTCATTAAAAACTGACCAACATCTGACATGATAGATCTGCTGTCAAGCCCCCAACTCCCATGAACACAACAGAACACTACCTCAAATAAAGCCTTACTTTTTTTTTTATCCCCAAAATATTATGAAAAGTATTGTGTGTACACAGCACTTTACAATTTCAAATGCATTTCCCATACTTTGCTTTATTTGATCTTCATCATTAGTAAGGGAAGTTACTAATCCCTCTGATTCTCACTGTCTCATTTGGAATATAAGGAAAGAAAGCAAATGTCCCAAAACCAGTGAGTAAATATTAAGATTGGGACTGGAAGTTGGGACCTGTTTTAGCCACACAAAAAAAAATATATATATATATATATATATATATATATAGTCACCTTGGAAACAAACCTTTTTACAAATGGGTTACCAAAGCCCTAGTTGACATATTCAACAAATATTCTGAGTGGGTGTTATATCCCAGACCCTTCCAGAACCAGACAGTAATGTGATGCTCTGATCTTTTTTGAAATCTCAACCCATCTGAGAGCAAGGAACATACGACGAGTAGCAGGCGCGCTACAACTCTTCGGCAACATCCAGCTCAGGGCAGGCTTTCCCACCACCCCGACTCAATTAAACTGACAAATAAACAGACTTCTGTTTCAGAATAACTTGGTTTCTTTAAAAAATAAAATAAAACTGTGAAACAGAATTAACAGTATTTAGCAATTAAATCTGGAAAACAGAAAAGTGGGCGGGTTGTGTGGCAGGTGGAAACAACAATATAATCCTCAGGTTGGCAACCAGTTACTATCTTTAGCTAGAAAACAGAGGGGCAGCCAGTGCCAAAGGAGGAAGAGATTTCAATTAACTGAATAATTTTCAGCTAATGTCAATAAACTGAATAAGCTTTTACAAAGCACAATGGAAAGAGTGTGAATTTGGAGTCAGAGAGATCAGAGTTCAAATCCCTGCTCTGCTGCTAAGTTAGTGACTTTAATCAAATTATATCATCTCTCTAAATTCTCTCACTGTAAAAGGGTGAGATTATCATCAACTTGCTGTCAAGGTTAAATGAGATGTTGCACTGTAAAACTGAAGTACACAAGCACTCAATGAACAATAGCTGCTACCATGAAAAAGCAGGGGGAGAAGGTGGCAAAGTTCATCAGGAGGGAACACATTAGTCAGTATAGGTTAGGTTATGCTGCAGGAACAAGCAGTACCAAAACCTCAATGACTTAATACAACCAGAGTTCATTTCTTGCTTACATGGAGCCAACTGAGGGTCTGGGTGACCAAGGATAGCAGCTCAGAGTCCCAAGTCACCTGGATCTCCATCTCCAACATCCTTTCATAATGCCACATCAAGGCAAAACACAGAGAATCACATGCCAGCTGTTACATGATTCTGCCTAGAAGTGGCATGCATGACTTTTTGCTCATTTTGCATCATCTAAACACCCAAATTCAAAAGGCAGAAAACTATAATCCTTTATTATGTCCAAGGGAATGAGAACCAGAAATATTGATATTGATATTAACAATGTTTACTTCGGTTAGGTTCTCAGGACTTTTTGTGAAGTTCTAGCCTCTTCCCTGTGAGGTATAAAACACCCCAGAGGACCTTCCACGTTGACATTAGCTTTGAGAGTCGCTGCTTGTATGTCCTACCACATCGCTCACACTTTCCCTCAGCTGAAAACAATCTAAGCTCTGCAAAAATATATCTGATTTACAATTCAAACCCACTCAAGGAAACCTGAAAACACAGATTAAAAGGAAAACAAAAAAAACCCCACATATCACTTTTGGCAAATATAATAAAAATACACACACTAGCTTTGTGGAAACACAACAAATAAGTTTGCTAATTCCTTTTCAAACTGGAGGAAAAAACGAGTACTGCTGTTCAGGAATGAATTTTTACCAAGTTCACATTAACTGTTTAAACTTAGACCATCACGGAGGGGGAAATAACAGGGTGTATCATACGATTAGGGGATTTCAAATAAGCTTCTGCTAAGTGAGTAGGTTCTTCAGAAAACACAGGAGTTGGTGACTGAGTTTCAGAGGCATAAAAGAAAATAACAGAAGACATAGATTCCAGCCAAAGTGGCAGAAATAAGCCACAGCCACGTGCAAGGGCTCCTCAGCACTCTTCCTGGGGGCACGAGGCAGCGCCCTGGGAAAAGCTGCTGAGGACCACAAGTCCCCAGAGATTGTTCATTTCTCTGGAGCTTACCCAGGGACATTTCAGTTAGGGCTGAAGTCTGACAGTTCGCCCTGGGCGTTTTATGTCACAAAGGGTAAGACATAATCTCAAAAAGAGTTTCTCTCCTAGGCCTCAGGGTTTTGCCTAGAAGCCAGCGAAAGTCTTGGTTTCTGCATCCAAATGCTGACCCAGACGACACGGTAGCTGAAGGCCTGCGGGGAGCGTTTGACATCCTTCTCGCCTTCCCACGCTGCCTTCCCGCAACCCAAGAGAACAACCCAGTTGCTGGTTCTTCCACTTTCTTCTTCCCTCATTTATCTCCCCTTTTCAACCCTGGAATCCCTGTCTTCTTCAGATAACACTGCCCGCATCCTAACCCGGAGGTCTGGCTTCCGGCAGCAGGAGCAGAGCGTCTTCTACCTGCCCATCCTGATATCGGACAACGGGCAGCCGGCGCTCAGCAGCACGGGCACGCTGACTATCCAGGTGTGCAGCTGCGATGACAATGGCCATGTCCTGTCTTGCAGCCCCGAGGCCTACATGCTCCCAGTCACTCTGAGCCGGGGCGCCCTCATCGCCATCCTGGCCTGCATCTTTGTCCTCTTAGGTGAGTAAGCAGCTCCCTTCCGTTCTGTGGAGTCCGGCAAATGCTTCCTTAGATAACACTCAATTACTGCCCTAGCACAGAACTGGCTTTCCAAACCATGCTTACTGAAAACATGGGAGAGTAAGGCTGAGAAAAAAATACGGAAATTGAAGACAGTCCTTTCCTAGGGGCCAGGAATTTATGTACCAAGCACCTACTATAGGCCAGGACACTATTTTAAGGGCTGGGATTCATAACAGAGACATGTTGCAGCCCTCACTGAGCTTACTTCAGAACTGAGCAGTTCATTCTGACATCACAGAACCAAAATGACAACTTTGGACAGAATATGATGATCACCTCTTCTAACCCTTTAATTTCCGATAAGTATCAGCTAAATCACACATAGCCTAAGGCCACAGACAGGGCCAAGCCTGAAACACTGCCAGGCCCCACCCTGTGCATTCCTGTATCTGAGGGGTACGGCTCTCCTAAATGTTCACCCCCAATCCTGGAAGTGGTAAGCATCATACAGAGAAGGGAAGAGGGACGGGAGATGGGGTAGGTGCCATATTTCATAGGGTGGTGAGGGAAGGCCTACCAATAAAGAGACCTTTGAACAGAGAGCTCAAAGAAGTAACTGAGTGCAATCACATGGCTACCTGGGAAAATAAGCCGTTTGGTGCTTTGGCTCCCGTCCTAGGCACTGTGGCCATCTAACAAGGAGCATAGCTGCTGGTGACATAAAAAGATGTGTTGACAGGCTGGTGAGAGAGCACTATTGGGGCACAGGATCCTTCCTTCCTCTTCTCAAGCCGTACTGCAAGGCAGCCACGCAGCTCCCCTGGCCATTCATGCCATTGTTTTTTAACTCCACATTCAAACAAGCCATGAAACACATAAACCAGTTATTGAAACCAAGAAAGTATCTGTACATATATCCCAACTTTTCTGAGTTCACAGCATACACATTTTGCTTAGAGAAGAGCAGAGCAGTAGATAGTAAAGCTGCAGATTTAAATTTGAATAGACGTGCAGACACCCACATATCCCCTTGATCCCAGGTTTACCTCGACAACAAGAGACTCAGCCAGACCAAAAAAAGAAGGGTCTAACTGCAAAATGTTCATTAACAGTTCATTGAATTTTAGGTAGGTCTGTGGAATATGCTTCTAAAAACAGTTTTTCATACAACATGTGGTTTAATTCTGTTGTTTCAGTTCAGTGCCACATGAAGGGAGAAGTACATAAATAAGTAACCTTTCTAAGTCCTTCAGTAATGACAAATAAAACTTCCCTGCAATTCCCCAAGAGTCCATAAGGTGGCATCAGGAGTCCTTGAGTGCATAACATGATAACCTACAAGAGGCCTTTGATGAAACTGGCTCTTAGAGGAGAAATTTCCAGGCTCTCCCTAGTTCTATCTTAGGAAAATATTTACATTTTAAGCTCACCCTGGCCTACCAAGGGTAGAAGTGCCATGATTAAAGAAAGACGGATTTAAAGAATCTGGTGTGGAGAGGCTCTCAAGTTAGAAGTGGTGTGTGCGGGGCAATTTATAGTGCCTCCCAAACCCATTATGCCTTGTGTTTTTAATTGTACAGAATAAATATTTTGTTAGGAGCTAACCTGAGCAGAGCTGTCATAAAATCCTCATAGTTTCAGGCAGTCTTATTTCTAAGAATGCACGTCCCACCTTAAATGTAATTCATAACAGATTAAACTGCAATTAATTTGTAATACTTCATTTTATAGACAACTGAATAAACATAATTTTAATTTGCAGAATTTTTTTTATTTCAAATCTCAAGTATGTATCTAGTTCCTAGAAAAACCTCATAGGCCCTATATGCTAGGAGTAAACATCCCTAGACCCCTGATCCTCTTGTCAGGGAAGCCTGTTGGCTAACTAGGACCATTTTCCCCAAAATCTGATTTTGCAATGCTTGTTGTTTAAATCACATTACCTAAAAAATAAATATGTAGCAATCTTTATTTTTCAAGAGATGGACCAGTTCCATGAACTGCCTAATTCTTCACCACCATCAGAAGTCTTTCCAGCAGATACTCAAAGACTTTTCTAATTTTGCTTCCTAGCATTTTCCAAAACACCATCCCAGTGGCACCTGTGCGAAGGGTTTTCCCAGACCTTCAGGAAGAATTACCCAGCCTTGCCTCTGCATGCTCTTCGCAACACCTGTAACCTTATCACGGCCAGACTTGCAGTAATCATGGGTGTTCACAATCTCCTTCAAGCACACGTTGTAAGAGCAGTAATCATATTCGACACAGTTTCCCCACAAATCAGCACAGTGCCTAAAAAATCTTTAGGTTTAGTTTATTTACTGAATCCCACAAAGAGCATGTTCACTTAGAATCCCATTTCTTCAATCTGCATCCATCCAAATCACACCCCAAACTCAAATGCCCTGTTAGTCCTCTGCTCTGAAATCCCCCAGTCCTGTAGTCATGTCATATTTTTGCATATATACAAAATATACATGAGTATATAACTGTTTCCGATGTGTGCTTTTGTCACGCAAGCTCTTTGGGAAAACATTAGGTATTAACATCATTAATTGCAATTTACAAAAAGCACATCCTACATACAAATTTCACAAAGGATTAGTATTAGTTTTTTTTTAAGCCCATCCATTATCTTACTGGGCACATGACTGTACTCTTTTTTTCCCCCTTGGGAAACTGGGGCCTTATTTTTCAGTGTTGGCATGCTGTCCCTGTCCACCAGCTGTAACAATGCACACGAGAAAAATAATCAATAGCAATTCTACAGCTAACACTTCCTGGAAAACATTTTCAGTCACAGAGATAAACAGTTCAATGGGATTCTCTCTCTCCCTCCTTTAAACCTTAGGGAACACATCCTGAAAATAAATAAATATATATATTATATATGTATATATAATATATATATATATTTATATTTGTTGGGATAAAATTTTATCCAAACCTGCAAGTGTACATCTAACAGTGTGGTGCTTCTTTGATAACATGATGAATTATATAAAATGTCACTGCTCATTCCCTCACTTCCACCAACATCACTGGATCCACAAAATCACAACCACCTCTCCAACTAATAAAAGGCTTTTCTGAGGAATTGAGTTAGTAGACAACAACAGTCATTTATGCTCTCTTGTCTGGAGGAGGTATAAAAAGACCAAGGCTTTGGCTGACACTTAGCATATGAGTCTATATGCAAATACATTAATATGTGATATTTACAGAGGATTCCATTAAGTTGCTAATAATACAAGAGAGCGGAGGCCCAGTCGGTGTGGCTCAGTTGGTTGAGCATCACCCCATGGACCAAGACATCATCTGTTCCATGCCTGGTCAGGGCACAATGCCTGGTTTTCCAGCTCCATCCCCAGTGGGGAGCGTACAGGAAGCAGCTGATTGATGTTTCGCTCTCATTGATGTTTCTCTCTCTCTCTCTACCTCTCCCTTCCTCTATCTCTGAAATCAATAAAAACTTTTTTTTAAAAAGTGGGATACCACTTACATAAGACTTCCCTATATGTTTCTCTATAATAAGAGAAACAGACATCCATCCTTATAGAATCAGAAGATTCAGATCCTTAGCATATACTCCACGGAGTGCACAGTGCTCCATGCCTGGTTAACGGGATCATGCACTGGGTGGCTGGGTGCACGCACCCACACGCAACTGCAAGGCGCCAGGCTGATGCAGACAGACTTCACGTGCAAACTCTGATTGAACCCCTGGGAGAAAACGCAGGGCGCCACCTGCCCGCACTCCCACTCTAACACCGCAGACCTGGTCGCAAACGTTCCGCGGCTGTCCCTGGGCTCACCGCTCGGGAACGCGGGGAATCGTGGCGCACGCAGCGGCCTCCCGCTCACTGTCCTGTTTCCCCGCAGTGCTGGTGCTGCTCATCCTGTCCATGCGGAGGCACCGGAAGCAGCCGTACATCATCGACGACGACGAGAACATCCACGAGAACATCGTCCGCTACGACGACGAGGGCGGCGGCGAGGAGGACACCGAGGCCTTCGACATCGCCGCCATGTGGAACCCGCGGGAGGCGCAGGTGGGCGGCGCCGCCAAGACGCGGCAGGACATGCTGCCGGAAATCGAGAGCCTGTCGCGCTACGTGCCTCAGACATGCGCCGTGAGCAGCACCGTGCACAGCTACGTGCTGGCCAAGCTCTACGAGGCCGACATGGACCTGTGGGCCCCGCCCTTCGACTCCCTGCAGACCTACATGTTCGAGGGGGACGGCTCGGTGGCCGGGTCGCTGAGCTCGCTGCAGTCGGCCACCTCGGACTCGGAGCAGAGCTTTGACTTCCTGACAGACTGGGGGCCCCGCTTCCGGAAGTTGGCCGAGCTCTACGGGGCGTCGGAGGGGACGCCCTTGTGGTGACGGACGTGCGTCCTGACGTACGAGGCGCACGTGTCGTGGACCCAGCGCGCCAAGCACGCGAGCAATACTGTGCTGGAGAGGGAGCGGGATGAGCAGGAGAACAGGGTTCTCCCTGGATCAGCTTTACTACTTGGCTAGAGGAAAGAAACACAAGAAGGGGGCAGAATCTCCAATTATCCTTTTCCCTTATCACCTCTGGGACCCTGTCGTCAAGGCACGGGGGCCTCGGTTGAGCACGGCAGGCTTGGCTTGGTCCTTCGCCGAGCCTCTGTCTCTTCTCCACCGCGAAGAGGCTCCGATCTTAGAGTGGCGGTGGAGAGCAGACCGTCCTCCTCGCACATTCTTTTTTTATTCGATTTGATTCTCCAATTAAGAGTTCTGTTGGCTCATCAAACCGCACAAACCAACCCACACACAAGAGAACACTGCAAAGAATGTTACTCGGTGGAATTCACCTACTTGTCCTGCGATGGATGGAATTTCTTTTAACCCTTTTGAGACAAAGGGGAAGGCAAATGGGCCTTGCATGGGGGTGGGCGGGGTGGGGGAAGGAAGAGGCATTGACTTGGCGCTCCAGTTTAATGGCTGAACCAGGACTTGTTGGCATAACAACTAATCGAACTCCAGTTAGAGTGCTCTTGTTCTCGCAGCACTTTCACTGTGCCCCTGCAAAATTGTCCAAAACGAAACCAGAAAATCTGCCTCGTTTGCACTGTAGATGTCTCTTCCATGTGCCAAATGTGAAGATTAGATGCTACAAATGAAAGCCAAATAAAAAGAAGTATCTGATAAAAGCATGGGTTAGAGGGCTTTCCTAATCTGTGTGAAGTCAATCCAAGGGATGTTTACATACTGTAGATAACCTACTTGAACAAAAATCGGTATTATAGAGAATAAATGGATGTAAGAAAATTACATGTATAAGTTTTGTATATTTGTTAATAATTTTGGTAATAAATATGATGTACTGCATCTCAGTACCTTAGCGCTTCTTTTAATAAAAGTTAAATAGAAGGGAAAGTCTATCGCTAATTTGTTTAATTGCTGAGAATGTGAAAAATGCCTTGGTGATCCTGTCCTGGCCTCGGGTTTTTGGGGCTGGGCTGATTCTTGAGGCAAAGAAGTATGAGGCTGTCTATTCTGTTTCAGCCACTGGACAGATGAACAGCTGTGGTTCAAACTATTAACGCTTTTCATGAACGCTATTCCCCCATCTCTGAAAAGAGCAAAAGCTGGTTTGAGAATATCCACAATACAATGGTGAATTTCACCCACATTTAGGATGCCGGTCATTGTGCTTATATTTCTGTTCTGTCAAATCAAATATGTACAAACAAATATGTACAAATGTATACCAAATATATACAGCTCATCAACACTGGATGAGTTCACAGAAGACTGGGACCATGTATTATTCATCGTCCCTTTCCCCACAGTAGCTAACCTAGTCCTTTACATACACTAAGTGCTTAGTAAGTGCATTATGGATACATGATAAAAGGGATCTCTTTCTTTGACATCCTGTTACTGAAAGGTATTTTACACAATTGTCCTTACAACTGAGAACAAACTGTGAACAAAACAGTTTTCTGCATATCGTGGTGATAGGAGTGGTTCTCGAATCTTCATGTGTGTCAGAATCACCTGGGACATGTGTTAGACAAGAGCTTGCTGGGCCTTACCCTGTAATTTCTAATTCAGCTGATCTGAGGCCATTTGCATTCCTAACAAGTTTATGAGTGATGCTGATGCTACTGATCCAGGGACCACCCTTTGAGAACACAGGTGTGTAGTCTCTCCTCTCTCTCAAACATATTAAGATTAAATTATCAGCCCACTTGCACCTGGGCCCACCCCGCCCACAGAGTGGTGTTGTAAATCTCTTTTCCAGTATAAAGGACCATTTGGCAGAAATGTGTAAGAAGGTTGATGTGGGTCTGGGAGCCAGAAGGACATGCTTTATGCTTTTAACATAGCATACTAACAGCCAGGCCAATTCTACATTGTATACTAACAGCCAGGCCAATTCTCATCTTCAACTTTAGCATACTAAGCCTTTCCTCTCATGAAAGGCAGTTCTCACACATTCAATCTTTAAGGGTAAGATGTGATGTAAAAATAAACTTAGCAAAGCAAAAGCATGAACTGGAGTCCAAACTAGGGTCTAAATAAATAAGTTATTTGAATGTGGACAAATTAACCCCTATAACATTCTTCCTTTCTTTCTCTAGCCTGGGGATAATTTTGTGACTTTCACTTTGTGTTGCATGTGTTAAAAACTGGGAACAGCTGTAATCCTAACCACAGGAGGTTATCATGCCCCACATCCTGCAAATGTGGTACCCATCATACGGGTCATGAAGTGATTAAACAGAACCTCCTGGAGCTGCCGGTCCCCTGGAGGATGTTTAATGGCGTGATACAGGAAGTGTGAGAGAAAGAGAATAGGAGATACATTTCAGTTCCCATTCAGCTGAAAAAGACTCTTCCCTCCAAATGAGTTTTTAAATTCCCTTTCCACTGTCACAGTTTACTAAAGACGCTGTCTCTCTGAAAAGCAAACACCATCCACACCAGACAGGATGCAGGGAGTGTGATCAGGTTGGGCAAGAGAGCTGTGAGATTACTCAGCTATTCCTCTGTTAACAGATAAAGCAGCTAGTCTACAATATACATGTTGGAGGGAAACAGAAGCATCTGTAGAAATCAATTAAGACTCTGTCTAGCCCTGGCCAGTTTTCCCAGTGGTTAGAGCGTCATCCCGAGGACCAAAGGGTCACAGGTTCAATTCCCAGTGAAGGACACGAACCTGGGTTGCAGGTTCAATCCTTGGCCCCGGTCAGGGCGTGTGTGGGAGGCAACCAATCAATGTGTCTCTCTCACACAGATGTCTTTCCCTCTCTCTTTCTCCCCCCCTCTCTCTCCTTCCCTTCCACTCTCTCTAAAAAACAATGGAAAAAACATCCTTGGGTGAGGATTAACAGGAAAAAAAAAAAAAAAGACTGTCCAAAACTGTATTCTGAACTAAACACCAGCAAAGTTAAAAATTAGCAACAAATTTTCTGAATCAAAAAGTAGATTATCCCAACATGGCAGCTAGCAAAGGCAAATGGGAGTGGATCACATAAGAAAGAATCTATAAATCCTGAAAACAAAATTCAAACAAGCCAAAATCAGTGCAGGCACATTGCTTAAGGATTGTTAATGGTTCTCTAGTGACCCAGAACCAGACCTTGATGTCAGAATTCACAGTATGTTCTTTATGATGCTGGGACTACATGAACATAGTATATACTTTAGAAGTAGTTATTTTTGCATATGGACTCATTCTCAGATCTGTTTGTCATCTCCATAATAGAGTTAAAGAGCTTTCAAGATATTTTTATGTATAAATATCTGGATTTGGGAAGCTTCTACGTGATTCTAAGGTTCTGGTAGAAGAAGTGGACAAAATTAGATCAAAGAATACTCTTTTTAAAGTGATCTAAGCCCTAGCCACTTTGGCTCAGGAGTTAGAGCATCGGCCCATGAACCAGAGAGTCCCAGGTTCAGTTCCCGCTGAGGGCACGCACCTCAGTTAAAGTTTGTCCCCTGCCCTTGTTGGGGTCTTGTGGGTGGGAACCAATCGATGTGTCTCTCTCACATCAATGTTTCTCTCTCTCTCTACCTCCCTCTCTATCTGAAGATAAATGAAAAAAAAAAAAAAAAAGTCCTCAAGTGAGGATAAAAAATAAATAAATAAAGTGTCTAATAATAAGACATTTCTGTCTCTTGGGATTAATGTTGTGCCAAAGTCATAAGTACTAATTTATAATGTGTGTAATTAATTATAGTAACATAAAACACCATTTTTCTTTTTTTTAAATTGATTTTAGAGAGAGAGGAAAGGAGAGGGAGAAAGACATAGAAACATCGACGAGAGAGAACATCGATTGGCTGCCTCCTATATGCCCCCCCACTGGGAATTTGGCCCACAACATGGGCATGTGCCCTGACCAGGAATTGAACCAGCGACCTCCTGGTGCATAGATCAATTCTCAACCACTGAGCCACACCAGCTGGGCCACAATTTTTCTTAAATCTTTTTTTCCTGGGACAGGAAGCTGGCAAATCCTGCCCCATATATTGGCCACACTCTTGGTTCTGTAAGGACTATCAGATGGCTGATGATGAGGGAGTTTCTTCCACTTCAATATTTTAGCTACTGTGGTCACCTTCCTAGTACCCATGATGACAAGAGCTACTGCCCAAAAAGCCGTAGGCCACTTCTCTGGGAATACTCTCTCTCAAAAGCCACTAGAACTACCTATAAATCTTCTAATTTTTCTGGAGGTCTGGATCCTAGCTTTTGTTTTATTGTTTTAATTTCTTACCCTTTCTCCCCATCACCTGTTTTGTTATCATTACTACATAAAAAGACATTTCAAACTTACTGGTGTAAAAGGACAACCATTGGATTGTGCTCACAGATTCTGTGGGTCAGGAATTCAGGAAGGATACATCAGTGACACCTCCTCTCTGCTCCCTAAAGTCAGGACCTTAGCTGGGGTGACTCAAAGGCTAGAGGTGACTCATCCACAGACTGGTTGCTACTGGCTGTCAAGTAAGAGATCAGACGGAGCTGTCAGTAAGACCCCTTCATGCTGCTTGAGCTTCCTCGCATCCTGGGGCTAAGTTCCAAGAGTGAACATCAGAAGGAAACCAGGCAGAAGTTGAATCATCTGTTTTGACTTCTGAAGTCACATGACACTACTTCCACAGTGATCACAAGCCTCCCCATAATAAAGATGAAGAAATACAGACTCCACCTTTTAAGGGGAAAAGTGTCAGAGCTACATTGTAAGGAGAAATAGTGTGCCCATTGCTGGAAAATATAATCAGCCACATCATCTTTCCCTTTTTTCTACCATGCCTCCTCCCTCTATTCCAGGAATCACTTTTGGTTCCACTTACCATTTTCTTTCTCTCTCCCATCTCTCCTCCTCTCTATGGAATATATTCTAGTTTTATAGGTATATTATTCTTCTCTGAAATTCAGTTTTATCCCTACTTTCAGAAGTAAATGACTATTTCATGAAAACACATAGCAAAATATCTGACATATAACAGGCATATAATATTTTTATTGAGGTACAATCAACATAAATAAACTTCACATATTTAAAGTATACAATTTAATGTTTTGATTTATGTATACACCTATGAAACCATCACCACAATCAAGATAGTATGTCACCCCCAGAAGTTTTCTTGCACCCCTTTTTATTTATTTATTTTATCCTCACCCAAGGACATTTTTTCCATTTTTTGTTCAGATAGAGTGGGAGGGAGAGAGAAGAAGAGAGAGAAACATGGACATGAAAGGGACACACTGAGTGGCTGCCACCCACATGATCAACCAGGGCTGGGGACAAACTGCAACCGAGGTACGCGCCCTTAGCGGGAACCGAACCAGGGTCTCTCTGGACCACAGGCCGACGCTCTAACCGCTGAGCCAAACTGGCCAGGGCTCTTGCACCCCGTTTTAATACCTCCCTCCCAACCATGTCTGCCCCTCCCCAACTCCAAACAACTACTGATATGCTTTCTATAGATTAGTGTGCATTTTCTAGAGTTCTATATAAATGAAATCAGACAGCATGTACTGTTTTGTGGAGGTAGGGAAGACCTGGCTTGTTTTGCTAGGCATTATTTTGAGATTTATTCACGTCATTGTGTGTATCAATAGTTTGTTGCTTTTTGTTGAACAGTAGTATTCTATTGTATTGATATAATGCTATTTGTTTATTCATTTACCTATTAGTCTGCTCAGGCAGCCATAACAAAATACCATAGACTGGTATTTTGAATAACAGAAATGTATTTGCTCACAGTTCTAGAGGCTAGAAGTTCAAGATCAGAGAGCCAGCAGGGTCAGGTCTGCTGAGACTCTTGCTGGCTTGCAGATGGCTCCTTCTCGTTGTGTCCGCACATGGTGGAGAGCACGAGTGAGTTCTCTGCTACCTCTTCTAATCTGACAC